CCTTACTCCCTGTGTGCCTTCGCCTCCCTACGACTTATGTTAATTATTTAATAATGAAATACAATAAAAAGTGCATTATTTTGTTATATATATTAAATATTTATGTAATATAATATATTTTATTATATAATATAAATATAAAATACATTATACGATGTTATATATATTATATAAAATATATATTTATGTAATATAAGATATTTACTATATATCTCAGGAGTTATCGAACGCATAAACTATGAACTTTTTAACTTCCTAGGGAGGTTATCAAATACATAAACTATGAACTTTTAAGTAATTTTTAATTTAGAGTCTTTTAGGAACATTCAACTTACATTTCATGAACCTTACCTCGACATCAAGAAGTATGGACATGATATTTCAAGTCTTAGAAATGGTGTATTTTGTAACGCATTTTTTTATCTTCAATTTTCAAGATTTTCAAGTTTTCGTAAATTTGTCGATCTACAATATTTTTAAAGATTTAATAAATAAAGATAAAAATATATTTTAAGACTATCTCAAAGATTTACAGTATTGAAAGCACATTTCTCGATACTATTTGAAGGTAGGCTCTAATTTGATTGTTTAGAGCCTCGGCTCTATACAAACCGCACCCAATTAATTCGAGAGGGGATAATATTCTTTTCCTTTTTTTTTCTTTTTTTTAAAGGTGGTTGGAAGATTCTTCCTTTTTTTTCTTTTTCTTTTTTTATAAGGCGGTTGGAAGATCAGATTGCACCAGAGTTTCTTTATATTTTGAGGGTTCAAAGGTTGATTTTTATATTTGATTTTTCGAACCAGGTATTAATTTCGAAACTCATGTGGACTTCTTAACGAAAATTTCTCCAAAATCTACATGAAGCAGAAACAGAAATCTCATCCCAAATTCGGCGAAATTTTAAGCCATGAGCTTGAGTATGTATCCCGATTCTTCTTACTTCATGGGGACTCAAAGTGTTCATTGGTTATTGGGCCAGGCCTTGCTCTGACTAAAAAGGTTATGATAACACATTTATTGTTCTGTTGCATCTCGAGTCATCTTTCAGTGTGCTTAGAGAGAGAAAGAAGGAAGATTTGGGCATCAAATTAAGAGAGATAAAGTAATGTACTTAGAGAGAGAGAGAGAAGAAAGATTTAGGCGATGAAAGAATGTGTTGTCATTTCGGTTCTTAACAAGAGGAAGCGAACTAAACTGCAGAAGGTCACATCCACAGGATTCTCTGTGTGCCCTAGCATAGTTCTTGCTCAAAACCCTAAGCCTGAAAAAACAACTGAACATTTGTACCATTTCAACTTCAGTATCAAAATATGCTATGTGGGTGAATGCAAGCATGTGGCCCTTGTTCATTCCAAGTACATGTTTTTACTGTGCACTTTAACTATGCACATTTCCTTTTTTACTATACGTGCCGTTTTTCTTATCTTTTCCTTTTGTTTTTTTGCCTGGTGACTGCATATATACATAGTTCATGCCGTTTATAGAATCGACCCATGTGTGCATGTGAGATGCATGCATACAAGCTTCGATGTATGGATGTCTTCCCATTGTTTTACATAGAATAGACCTACATACGTGCCCCATGAATCTCATGCACTATTTGGGGGCCTCTTGGGAGTTCATGTTAAGTTCAATTGAATTTTTTTTTGTTTTTTTGGGCTATAAAGACAAAGCCCTATCCATTTTTTTCAAGTAGATTAGGTTAGCTTTTTGAATTCCCCTATCCATTTTTTTCAAGTAGATTAGGTTAGCTTTTTGAAGATGTTAGTGGGGTGGTGTCAGTAGTAAGAATAGAAACTACAACGTGATGATTAGGGTATTGGGTGCTACTTGTTATACCCAGAAATCGATGAAAAAAACAAGTTAATGGGACAGTACGCTACTTGTTATACCCAGAAATCGATGAAAAAAGCAAGTTAATAGGACAGTATTAGGGTTTGTATGGATGCACTCTTTATAATTTATGATTAAAATTAATCTTGATAATAAATTATTTGTTGTTTGACAATGTCCATTCTAAAGTTATCTTATAAACAATATTACATATAAATTTATCTTTTTGGAAAGCTGATTTTACTTTACATTATTTTAATTGAAACTCAATAAAAAAGCTAAATAATTAACATCATTACAAAAATATTTAGCAAATACTCAACATAATACTATTGTCCAAAGTGTATTAATTTTAGATTAGTTAGTTTCCTGGTAAGATTAATTATCTTCCATGTGTACCCTTAACTATTACCTACTAAGAGTAGAGTGTATGGATGCAAACAAAAGGACTCTATGGATGCATGCACACAAAATCCATGTATGTTCCTTTTATGCTTTAGATGTGCTCAGTATCATGTCCGAGTATGTAAAACATGTTTTAAAATCCGGATCGTCGGGGTACCGTCTATCCTAGAAATCAATCTAAGTTAGTGAATTGTTAACCGAGATTGGCGATCCAACTGAAGCAAATCAGACAATAAAAAATTAACAATTAAGAAGAAAAAAGCAAAAAAAATGCAATGAATGAGAAGTGATCGATCCTTATCAATGACAGTATCGGCAAGTTCCTGATGAAATCATCCAGTAGTTCTATGAGAACCCATTCGATTTTAAGTTTCAATTGGGAACCGAATCGGTTTCCACTTGTTCTCTATCCAAATCTACCGATTCTGCCAAAATTATTGCTTCACATTGATATGGCATGTTATCATGTATACATTGGCTAAATGCATGCATACATTCGGAAGAAAATGCGCACCATGCTGGAGACAGATCGAATTCCAACCATGGTGTGCCATTTATTTATGAATGGGTTGCATGTACATGCATGAATGCATGCATGGATGGCTGTGGCATCCAAGACCAAGGAACCGTGCAGGAAGTATAATGATAGCGTCCCAAACCCTAGAAATTGTAGTACAAGAGCGACACGCCAACAACTAAGAGTCGTCTTCTCTTGCTGCTAAGTTTAAATTGCGTGATTTGAAAGGTAAAAGATGCGTCTTTTGGAAGGGGTTATTAGATTTGGAAATCACATAATTGCACTGTCTGTAACTCTAGAGAGAGAAAACCCAAGACTTGTCAAAACTCAAAACCCCAACACCTATCTCTCCTGACGAGAGAGAGTCTCAGATTGGTGTGGAGAGAACGAAACGGCAAGAGAAAATCAAATGCCAAGTTAGAGAGAGAGAGAATCAGATGTCAGATCATTGCCTTCACAACCTTCTTACTTGTATAACATTGTGGGCTACCTTATATAAACCATGGTGAGCACACAACATCATTACGATTGAAGTATAAAAACAAAATTTTGAGTGTTAAACAATTTGGTTTTGAGTTGCAATTAGTTCCATTTGTTTGTGAGAATTATTTTTGTGCTGTGTAAGAGAGTTTCAGTGTTTATTTTGAGATGCTCGAGACATATCCGTGGATGATTAGGTCTTTTACTCTCTTCATCAAGGATGGGTTTTACAAGAAACGGAAAAAAAAGGTGATCCAATGTCTAATAATTGTGTTCAGGCGCTATCTTTCTTGAGCTTCTATATTTTTCTCTTTTTTTTTTTGTTTTTTTTTTTATATTCTTGATGTTTTGTTTCTTGACCTTGCAAGACTTTTGAATGGATCCGGCGCTCTTATGGCCGCCCTCTAGTCCGTTTAGATTTGTGTAGGTTGTGTCCAACTTCATCATCCCTCCCATCTTCTGTATTTTTGTTTATCCCTCTTGAGCTTGCCTTTGCAGTAATGTAATATTTGTGGGCCATTTTACTCATGTGTCCAATGTGATTTGCCACTCCTAATGTTATTTCATGTGATGTTTGATTTAATGTGATGTAATTCATGTAGCAATCCTTTGTTTTCCTCTATAATCATTTTAAGCCGTGCATTGAATTGCTGTTTTCCATTGATGTTTGCATTATGGCAAAGTAGCTGTTGGTTTGGCAAGTGAGATGGAAGTCTTGGAACATACATGGTGTTTCACACTCATTGCAAGGAAAATGAGTAATAATACATCTACAAATATATCAATCAAAACAGATATCAAAGCAAACCACTTTAAAACATGGGGAAGAATTGAAAGGACCGGATGTTAATCCACAGTTCTGGCCATTGTCAGATGACTTGTGATCTCCAACCTTCACCATTACCACATGCCTTGTGCTAGTCCAAAGAAACTCAACTTTTGCCATTACCACATGCCTTGAGCTAGTCCAAAGAAACTCAACTTTTGCCATTACCACATGCCTTGTGCTTGTCCAAAGGAACTTATCTTTTGTCATTACCATATGCCTTGTGCTAATCACACCCAAGTGGTGGACCTCCTCTCTCTCTGAGATGCTGATCCCCTTAACCCACTTGGGGCACACCTCCCCACTTGTTTATGTGTTTTTCTTTCCATTCTTGGAGCCCTCATACAAAGGCTAGAATTGAGCTTCACAGATGGGAAATTTTGGCAACTAAGTGATCTGACAGATGAAGACCTCAGTGGTGCCATTGTACTGAAGGGTGGCATGGTGGTGGGATCTGTTGCCTCACCAGAACAAGCTGTGCATAAGGATAGTGATAAACTCATTCTTGGTAGTTCTCTTATTTGGCTTGTGTGTGGAAGCCTGATGAAAGAAACAATTCCATGCCTGCAAAGAGGGCATGCTATGGATCCAGGAGGGCCAGAAACTGTTGATGTATTGTTTGTGGAGCAGAGGTACAAGGCACATTGGGTGCAGAATTCATGGTTGCAACCTAAAAGTACATCCAACTCTCTTAACAATTTACAATGAAAGATGGGATAAAAAATAAGTACGGGGAGTTTGAATAAATATCTATGGAGATGGGGGTCACAAGTTCAGATTCAGAGTGTAATCTGATAGGGCCATTTATGCTATTCATAAGAATCAAGGAAAAAATGAAGACAAGGGATGATAACTTACTTGGGAAATATTTTGTCTAACATATTAGTGTCTTCATATCCTAATGGAATCAGGAGAGCATTTATACTTAAATAAATGCAGGTTTGGGAGTTTGTTCATTCTAGCATTATTTTATGCTGAATAAATTATCTATGGTGATGGGGGTCACAAGTTCAGAGTCAGTTTAGTCTAATAGAGCCTTTGGATGTGCAACATTTCTTGAAAGCTGTGATACATTTTAATATGTTAGATTTGAGATCCAATGGCTAAGAAAATGTGTGGTCTTTTTGTACTAAAAATAAATGGTCTTATACAATTTATTCATGAAACCTAGGAAAAAATGAAGATAATGGGTGATAAATCAGGAGGAAAATATTTCATAACAGGTCTGCGTCCTCATATGCTCATGTAATAAGGAAAGATTTTATAACTTGAAAAAGGCGGGTTTCACCCCTTAAATATGATTTTCTAGCTGCTTATCAGAAATGGAAAATGTGTTTTAGCTTTTCATGACTAAGGTTTGTAATTTTAATCGACTGCCCATCTTAAGAGTAAAGCATGTCCAAGCTTTGACTAGGAAGTCCTAATACTGCTGAGGAGGAGCACCTGGTCTTGTTAAGAATTATTGCAACAGAAGGCCCAAAAAGCTGTTATTTGGAGTTAGTGGGATTCTAAAATTTCTCTCTTGCAGTGAAAATGTTTAATACCCGAAAGGGGAAAGGAGAAAGTTGTTTGTATAACCCATAAGAAATTTATCAAAATACTCATGAGAGATAACCTATTCAAAATTTTGCTTATATTTTCTATTTAATTTCAAAATATCCATCAAAATTTTACTTATATTTTCTATTTAATTTCAAAATATCCATCAAAATTTTACTTATATTTTCTATTTAATTTCAAAATATCCATCAAAATATTTTTTGGAATAGTTGCAATTGGGTAATATGTTAAATAGGTGATCTCTTGTGAGTATTTTGATAAGTTCCCTAGAAATATTTAAATGGCCTAATATGCAACTGGACAAATACAGAAGTTTAGGAATCAGAAAGTCCCTCCCAAATAACACAAATATATTTTGGGAAATTTATAAAATAGAACTACCTTATCAATTATTTAACATTATTTAATATGTTACCCATTATGGTTACCCATTTTCAACTATATCAACTTGCGATCATCTTTTGCATTTTGATAAAGTTCCCTGTATTTTGGAAGCAAAATGGTCGCACCAGAAAATATGAAAGGTACCAAAGGTTTAATGACAACTACAATGATGAATTTTCAGATAATAAGAAAAGGAATATAAAAAGCACAACTCAACTATCGATATGATCAATTGGCTAAAACATATTAATGATCTGGATACAAGTTCTTCCACTTTTGTCAATCAGCTAGCCCATGCACAGAAAATGGCTTGACTGATACAAATCTCACATTAATCATGCACTTCTCTTTGTACATGAGAGCTGTATTTCCAAAATATTTACAGGTTTTTTTTTTTCTTTTTTCTTTTTCCATGTGTGGTATAATTAAGCCATGAATGGAAAAATTAAGTGGAAAGAGAGGAAAAAACTGGGTTAACTAACTAATGGGGTTTTCTTCTTCTACCGATGAATGGCTGTAACTAACTAGGACGGTTCTTGGAAGGGATGAACAATTTACAACATAATGTGAATCTAGATACCAAATTTCATGCTTACATTGAAAGGGTGTGGTGTTTTGGACGGTTCGTTTACCCTTTTAGTTGGATAGTGTAGATTTTGGCATTTGTTCCAAATCTAATACCATTCAACCAAACTGGTTGGTCTCAACCACTGCAATCTTACTTCAATAAGTACGATTGAAGTAAGGTTGTGGTGTTATATAAACTCTATCTCACATTTAATGATCAATAAATTCTATCCTATATTTAATGATCAAGAAAGAGAACAGAATGCATTTTTTGTAAAAACAAAATTGACTTGAGATAACAGAATCACAGAAAACTGAGTATCCAATCTATGGCCAGTACTTGAAAATTTATTACAAAGCATATTGTATTTAATTTAACATGACAGAAAATAGTAATATGTTAACCAAATAGTGTACCTTCTGCTGCTACTGTGCATCTTCTTTCTAAACAAACAGCACATGGATCGACACATGCCGGTAATATATCAGAACTCCTCCATCCACATTCCCTACAAGCAGCATCCAAAATACTTTCATAATATGTATGCCTAGTGTATTCAATATGTTACGATGAATTGATTCGGAATGTAAGAAGCTCAAATAAATCATGCCATCCACTCAAAGTTTGAACTCCAAAGGAAAAAGATTACATAGCCCAGTGGTAACTTCCCTAGGGCAAAAGGGACCATGTCAAGGGATTTGTTTGACCCAAAAACTCTGAACTTATCATTATTCATCTCTAGGGACCAATTGAGTAATACATAAAAAAATGATTAGGAGCACTGAAATGCTCCAAATCAACCCCCTCGTTACCTAGGCTCACAGTGAGGCCTCAAGTATAAGGCTAGGGTGGGAGCCCTAGAGCTCCTCAGCCAGGATTCCATGAGCCCCTAAGCCCTGCCCTGCCCCCAGGTGGCCAGATGTTGATGACAGGGCTTTCACAATCCATGCTCTTAGAAAATCTGTGGTTTTTTCACATATTTGTATGAAGGATTTAAAAAACGAACCAAACTAGCCTTAAGGCCTGATCTGCCCCAGCCAGCATCATTTTAATAACAGGGCCTCCCAATGAAATATTTTATGATCCATACAACCTTAGATATCCTCTGGTTTTCACATTTTTATATGGAGAATTTTAAAAAAGCATACGGTTTCCATCTTTTTTTCTGAAGAATTATAAAAGAAGAAAAAAATATTTCCGAAGAATTATAAAATAATAAAAATTATATGACAGGAATTGGACCCAGCACACCACGTAAATTATCCTACACTGTCGCCACATTAGAAGATGCTCTACAATTGTCAAATCAGCATAGAACAGTATATATAACGAAAAGCTCAAGACGCATCCCCAAATTTCCATTCATACAACTTACATTGTGGGTTACTCAGGTGAGCTATTCCAACTTAAAATGAGTTTTTATTCACCGATCAATCAATGGACGAGCCATGATGAATAGAGAGAGTGGGACCTACCGATTCGGTCATGATCTCATGGCCCTGCTCTTTCCTTTGCAGTCTACCCAGCAATTGATATTAGGACTGAAGAGCACTTATGACCATGGACCTTCTTTGGTCATACAGATCATAGTATAAGCATAGAAAAAATCTCAATCCAGGATCTCAATAAGGAAGATTGAATCTTGGCTCCCCTATTTACTTGTCTCACTACACAGGTTCTCAGTATATGAATCTATTTAAGTTTTTATGATCCCCAAGGAATGGCCACGCAATTGCAAGGAAATTTTAGTGGTATAATTTGGGATTTATCATCTCGTATGAATCTTTAAATTGTATAATGTTAGTTAAGATAACATCATTGAGCATTATAAATAGTTGTAACTCATGAGGATACGTATCAAATTTATATTTAGGTACAGGGCATTCTCAAACAAAACATAAAGTTATGATACTGTTGGATTGCTTGAACAAAATGATCTAGAAGACCAGAACAATGACAACAAAAACAAGGTGCAACATGATGAGATTTCAAATTATGTGACACATTGTGAAAATGACAAAAACCCACTTACCGAGAGATCTTTACAATGCTCATTAGAGGCAATGATAAATATCGAGATGGTAGAAAAAGTAAACGAGCTTCTGATTGTCTACTCAAAATCCCCTCTAACCATTGTCTATGCCACAAACGAGCAACCTGCAAGGGCGTCCAACTTTTGTACGCAAAACAAAATGCTAACATAAGAATTTTCTTAACAAAACATGTGAGTTACATCAGACCAAAATTTAGCACTATTACTTGGGTCAAAAAGTGAAAGTTTCCAAGAGCGGAAAAAAGTAACCCACTATAGAAATCTGCCCCAAACATTTTAATGTCAAAATGGCAACATTCACATTAACCAGCAAGGATCATGCAACAATTATGCTAGATCTACTTCACCAGACATAAAGAGTTCATCAATCAGTAAACCATCAACTTTGTTCAATTTAAATATTTGGTGAGGTGCAATTTATGTTATCCTTTTGTTAATAGATATTCCATTAAAAATATCAAAATCCATGAAGAATAACACTGCTCTCCACCCACCCACTGGGCCAATAAAACATTCTCCAACATGAATCAGACATTAGAATGCTAGTTCAGTTTCGTTATTCTATGTTCTACTAATAAAGGTCTCCAAAATTCCATGATAATCGACTAATGGAAGTGAAAGAGATGCAATATGACTAGAAAAGTAAGCCATTTTTTTATTTTTTAGTCAGTATCAGTATAGAAGCATACCCATTTGAATTTTCAGCACTCAGGATGGCGCCTCTAGCAACCAAAAACTGTTTTCACATAACAAAAAAGTTGTGCATGCATCAGTACATGAATCTCAAATAAAAATCAATGGAAATTAGAAGATTATTAACAAAGCAAACATACTTGACAACACTGTGCATTTCCACCACATGCAGCATAATGCAAAGGTGTGCTACCTGCACCTACCATGAACAGAAAGAACTAAGATTAGATAAATCACATAATAAGTAAAGAACCCCAAGTAGTTACAATGTGATTCACCTAAGAACATAAGAATTTCTAGAGTGGGAAATAATTATAAACAATTGAACATCATGAATAGACTGGATAATACAGGGAAGGTGTATTTTATAACTATCATGGAAAAACAATAGCCCTTTTTTGTCGCCTTCATCCATTGAAATCATAAGGCCGTGATGGAAAGTGGGACCCCACGAATTGAGTCATGTCATGTGGTGTGTCCCACACAATCCCCTTAAGGAGCCTTGTTGATATATACACATATATCCCTAGAAGAATCTTCTCTCGTAGATATGAAAAGAGATCTAAACAGAGTGATGCATATGTTTTGGCATTTTGGCTTCACAAGTCTATAAACACCACACATAAACTCAAACAAATTTTCAGCCACAATAAAAATAAATGTGGGGGTAGTCTTCTGCAAAATGCATGTTTAAACTTAACAAAATTTTACATAGAAAATGACGGTTTGACAGTTTAAGTTCAAGAATATCACTCTCATCACAATGATATCAACGGTAACAAATTGGTTCTTCTCAAATTATCTACATGACAGAACGAGGGGATAACATAGCTCTCAAACATTATTCCCTGCCTAAGATAACCAAAGAGAAGAAGTCACACAATAAAAACAAGCAGTCAGATAAAAAAATAAGTGTTACCAATCAGGTCAATTGTAGTTCCATCATCAATCGTGACCACAGAAATGCATGCCCCCAGATCCAAAAGCAACTGCAGGCTATCTACATGTCCGTTTAGCGCTGCCATATGGAGTGCAGTTATTCCACCATCGGCTGGTTTATTGAGGATTTTAGAGAGAGAACTGAGAAAGTCAAAAAGAAAAATGACAAACAAAATAATTCAATATGGTAAGAAAACCAATTACCCAACCAAGGAATTTAATAAAACAAACTCTAAATTACATCATTCCCATGGTTGGGGAAAGTATTTTGTAATCCCATGGATAATGCCAAACCCATGGTTGATTGGATCACCAGTTAAACCACAGATGATTATCGAGTGAAAACATGGGACTCACCATTAGGTTCATGTTCTATTCTGGTGGGTCGCACTCTCTGTCCATCATTTCAGTGGATAATGATGACCCAATGCATATGGTTTTCCATAGTTCATTAAATTATAGCATACTTTCTCTCCATTGATGAACTGATAAGCTATTAATTGTACTGTACATTAAATACCTTGTCTCAAACTCCATGTCTAAATCATCAGTAGGAAACCCTCTCCTACTAATATTCCAAAACTCAGGTATGCTAGGCACATAATCTGCAAGGAGAAGTCGAACGCATCGGGAATGTCCATTTACAGCTGCAAAGTGGAGAGCAGTCCTACCATTGAGATAATCTGCCTTGTGAACCTATGAATTGAATACAGAAGTGTTCAAATAGATATTAATTTCATTCTTGATAGATGGTTCATATAAGGTTAAGGAAAAGCATAATACAAAACTCTCTTACATTGGCTTTGAACAACACTAGAGTCTGAACCACCTCCCAGTGACCGTATCGGCATGCTTGCATCAAGGCCGTCTGTTCAAAAGCAGCCAGTAAGCATCTGTTTACCAAAAAGTTCCTTGTGGATTCCATCCCAAATTAAAATGTATTGAGAGAGAGAGAGAGAGAGTTGTAGCTAAAGTAGTAGGACGCTGGTTCTTCAGGAGACATCAGGGTTTAATTTCCAATGTTACAATAACAATTTTACCCATAGAACCAGAAACACTATAAGCAAAGATCCTTGAGGCATGATAGGATTATTAGCTGACTAAAGGTAATGATAATGATAGCAAAGAAATAAAGTAATGAGATCCTTTGGAGTGGGATGTGGTTTGATCGGTCAAGGTGTCAACAGTTATAACACTATGTCTCAAGTTTAAATCCCATCACTGAATGACCTAAAGAAAAAATACTTGGGTTGCAGCACAATTACTAGGATGTTATTTCTTCAGAGACACCAGGACTGAATTCTACGTTTACGTATAAAATTTTGCCTATAAAGATAAATAGCATAAAATTATTTGGAGATGATAGTATTATAATTTATAAGCATATCCAATGCAGTGAAAAAAAGAGGCTAAAAATAGTTTAGGTGGTCCTTACTTATGAAACAAAGCCTCCCCAAATCAATACATAGAGAGACCAGGTGGCAAAACAAAAACCACACCCTGAGTGGTTCTAGCTAAAATTAAGGTTCCTCATACCTGTCCACAGTAATTTCTCAGATTTATATCAACCCCTGATTCCAGCAAGAGAGATACGATCTGCATACACGTTCGAGTTGCCCTTCAGTTAGAAAAGATCACAGAATGGACGAAGACTATAAAAGAAGATGGTGCTTTCTTGTTCACACATAAAAAAAAGTCAGGAAATAAAAATGAAAACAATAAAGTGGAGAAAGAAGGTAGAAACCATTTCATTGGTATCGAATGAAATACCTCGTGATGGCCTTGAGCAGCTGAATAATGCAATGGAGAATTGCGAAGCCCAAAAGTTGAGTATCTTGCTAGCCGAGGATTGCATTCTAATAGTGCCTTGGCTTCTTGGAGATCCCCATCTCTTGCGGCCGATACCAGGCGCTCCCCTGAAGCCGAACATCCAAAGGAATTCCCCACAATGCTCAAAAATCTCATGATTGTTTATCTATCGCTATCCACTGCTAATTCTCTAATAATCAAACTACAGATTCATGGTTTTACTCCACAACGTTCCTAGAACTGGACCATGTAATGTCGTTTTAGCGCATCACTGATGAAAATTACATAGACCCATCTTCAGTCCCACCACAATTGTTTGAAGAAAGAACAAAACCCATATGGATTTCAGAAAACAAGATCATCTTTTGGCACACCGGAATCAATAAATTCTCGAAAACCAAAATTAACAGAACCCATATTCAATCTCCTTGACTTTTTCAATACCAATCTTCAAAATCAACAAAACCCAAAATCAGATTACATATCAGCATCACTTCATATACCCCACCAAAATACGAAACATTCCCTGGTATTTGCGGTGGACAATTGGCATGTTGGTGTACAGATTCAATGATAAACAATGCAAACAATAATTGTCAAAAAGATTAAAGAAATTATAGACAACAAATAGATAAATAGAAAGAAAAGGCAGAAAGAGGTTAAGAACCATTCATTTTATATTGCATTAATTTGGTATTCACCTGCTTTTTGCTGTAGTTTGTTGTATAAAAGTGGGGTAATAGATCCGGCATTAAAGGGGGAGGGTGGTTAATAGTAAGAAAGAGAGAGAGGTTTCCATGATTGCGGGGCCAGCATTGTTTTACTGAAGTGGGCCAACCAACAAGCCTGCAAGAAAAGCGTGTCTCCATGATTGGGAGAACTAACCCAGTCAAACTGTTGGTTTTCATGCGCCTTTCCTTCTTTTGCTGTTTGCATGTCTTGTGCTGTTATATTCGGTTTGTTTCTTTTTTTAGCCTCCCCCTCTCTCTCTCACAGAGTCTCATGGGCCTGTTATAGGTGGTGGTTTGTTTCAATGTTTTGTGCTGTTATATTCGGTTTGTTTGTTTTTTACCCTCTCTCTCTCTCTTCTCACATGTGCCTGTTACGCGCGGTTTGGTCTCTCTCTCGTGCTTGTTACATGCGGCTATTTTTATTTGACCCTATTGATTTGGTACTCACGCGGGAGCATACTGTTTGTTACTACCTCAGGTAAAACTCAATGGGGACATTTTTTTAGTATGGTAAAAGTTTATATAAGGATGCTCCCTTTTTATGTAAAACTACGGATGCCCCTCAAAAATCCATCGGAAAAGGTGGTTTAATGTTGACAAACCCTTTGATTGATCATCTCGACATCGAGATGTATGACTATGAAAATAAAAAGATTTTAAGTCTAAAAAATAGTGCATTTGACAACATATTATCT